TCATCTTGGGCGACAGCAGGTGATCAGTTTGCCTATTGTTTTCCTTGGAGCGGTAGCAGGTTGTCAGTTGTGCCACTAGACCACAGTCGGTAGAGATACTGCACAAAGGACAAAGGGGGTTCTGGATTCGGTAGGCAAAGTAGGCGCCTGGTCTTGTTTCTGCATTCGTGGCTGCAGCGTGGGGAAAACCTCGTTGATGAACCAGTATGTGAATAAGAAGTTTTCAAATCAGTACAAAGCTACCAGTAAGCTCCAGGAGTTGCAGGCCGCGCATTAGTGTAGGAATATATTCTCAGCGTTCCTTTTGCGCCAATTATGACTGCATGTTGGATTTATTTCCCTCACTAATGCTGCTGCAGCCCTTCCTTCACTGTCACTCCAGTTTTTTGCCATTCTTCTTCTGGGCCACTGTTTGCGATTTCCACCTCTTTAAGTTTGCTTTTTGCACGCAGTTGGAGCGGATTTTCTTACCAAAGATGTCGTCATTGATGACAAAGAAGTCACCATTCAAATTTGGGACACAGCTGGTACAGCGCTGCGTGACGTGTTCTTGAGAGCCCATTCTCATCGCAGCAGAATGTTCCACCTTCACGTATATTGTTGCACTGTGATCAATATTGGTTTGTGAGTTCGACGTTGTAACCGGCAACTCTCCATATGTGCATACATGCACTGGGTGCAAGTGCTTTCCTCCCCTCACTGGTGCGCCCCCAGTGTGTTTTTCAGTTTTTTCATTTTTCCATCACTTCTGCACAGAGTCTTGCGCACGGTTTTTTGGGTGCCTATTGCCGCAGGGCAGGAGCGGTTCCAGAGTTTAGGGGTGGCCTTTTACCGCGGCGCGGACTGCTGCGTTCTGGTTTTCGACGTTACGAACCCGAAGTCATTTGACAGTCTTGAATCTTGGAAGGACGAATTCCTTATACAGGTAACCACTTTGTATTTTTGCGTTGCTGTCCGCATTTATATCCTCGCATGCAAGCAGTCTATGCGTAGTGAGGCTTCCATTTGCGAATTTGACGTGAAGAACTGTCGCAGCTGAAAAAAAGGACATTAAATGAAGCTACAGTGGATATGTGAACTAATAGTAGATGTGGAAGTACGAATATAGAAGTGGAAATCCGTGTGCTGGTTGCTGACGTTTCAGTCTTCTCCCGCCGACCCCGACGCCTTTCCCTTTGTTGTCCTGGGAAATAAAGTGGATGAGAGTGAGCGACAGGAGTATAATTTGATTACATATGATTATCACTTTGCGGCATGCTATCATCGCTATTCAGCAGTAATGTCTGAGCTGTTGTTCACGCTGTGATCCCCTTCGCACCGTCCCTTGTTGCTTTCTCTTTAGGAATATTTATGTGTGTGTAGGCGTTGGTGTATGTGATTGTGGTGTACGCAAAAAAGTGTGCAGAGATGTCCCTACATGCATGAATGCATAGCCACGCTAGTGTGCATACTAAATCTTGTTTGAGGATATGTGTGTACGCCAACCAAAAACGTGAATGCATCTTCGCCGTGTGCAGAGATACATGGAGAGACATATGCATGCACATAGCGATATTCATTTGTGGTAAGGAATGAGTATTTCTTTTTAGAGGAGAAACGTCGGGTATCTGCGGCCAAGGCTGAGGCATTTTGCGGGTCTAAAATAAGCTACTTCGAGACAAGCGCCAAACAGGCCATTAACGTCAGCGCCGCATTTGAGGAGATAGCTAGGAAAGCCATGCAACATGAAACCAAACAGGAGCAGATGTAAGGAAACCAGCTTGACATGCTCCGCATGTTGATGCGCATTTGGGTGTAGTGCTGCTGTCATTGATAGTGACCTCCCAGCGTATTTGTTAGTGGAATATAGCCTTTGACCAAAATGCTTTTTGTGATGCAGTTACCTGCCGGAAACTCTGACCCTCAGCAACCAGGAAATCCGCCCCCAACATGTGCAGACCAGTGGTGGCTGTTGCTGAGTTACTGGTGGAGCAGCTTATGCTGCTGCTGCTGTCAAAGGCCTCACCAAGCCGTGGCCTTTGTCCCATTGTGCTGCTTCCGCTGCGACGCTCACTGCCACCTCTACCGCGTCCGCCCAAACTGTCCCCTGTCCCTTGTCCCCTTTATTCCTTTGTTTTCATTTGCGAAATTTAGACATAGTCGGCAAATTAAAGACTAACGGGGCCGTTGGTGGCGGCTCAGTGCATTCTACGGGCTGAGCCTCGTGGTAGCTTCCAGCTCAACCGCCTCCTAGCTAGCTAGCTGGTGAACAAGTGGGCGAGTGTTTTGTGTGGTTGTTGGTGTTAGTTGGTGTTAGTGTTTGCGTTTGTATTATTCTTCGCATCGGCAGAGGTGAGGGAGAGGGGCAGTTGTATTGTGTGGCGGTTGGCACTCTAAACCCCACCGCTCCACGCGAACTCACACAGTGCAGAGAGAGAACGGCAGAATCACAGTAAAAGGGAAGATTTGAGGACGCCTGATGGCTCCTTACACCTCAACGTATACCTGAAGAGTCCAGGAACAACACATAGACTGCGCACAGACTAGCAAGCTGCACCAAAAAGCTGACCCTCCACCTATGCTTTACCTGTCAAATAACTGAGCCAAGCTCTACAAGGTCTTCTTTGCCCGTTGATTCTCGCAATCCCGCCGCCTTGGCATCGGCTTCGCTAGTTAGCTTGTAGATGTTGTGGGAGTCTGGCTTATCCATCCGTTCATGCCACTACTAGTTAACAGGAAATTTGGCTAGCTTATGCACATTATTTATTTCCACCATTAACCCGCAGTTGGATGAATTTCACCACGTCAACATTCAGAGCAAAGGGTAGAGCCACGTTTCATCAACGCCGCTGAAGGCCGCCGCAATGCTTTGTATTAAGGAAGCGTTCGGATTCCGGTTTTCTATTCCACTGCTAATTAACTGCTCACTGCGAAGGCAAATCAACAGATGCGGCACAGTAATTGCCATCGGTACATAAAAGCACAGGTCTGACAGGCGGAGAACACATTGGCGCAATGCAACAAGCCGTGGGGGCCGGTCTTTTTCCTTGTGGATATGTTTTTCCCTTACCTACTTTTTTTAAGTGGGAGGGAGGCCGTTTACCGTTGGGACGTGGTGCTGCCTGTTACCTCCGGGATGCAAATAGCAACTTCCCCTGCTTTTTCCAAGAACTGTCAGGTGCGCCCTGGATTCCTCAAGAACTGGGAATTTGACATTGTAACCTCTGGTTCGAGATGAGATTCCTATGGGTCGCTTAAACTGCATAGAGAACGTTTCCCGCACCATCCACCAGCATCGAAAAGATCATTTGCGCTGCCTTACAGCGCGCTCAAGAGCGTTCTACTGACTTGTCTTTTGCGAAAGATGAGGGCCAGTAAACCCCAACGTCAAAGCAGTCGAGCTGCCGCTTCTGAACAGCTCGTGCATTCCCAGTTGCCTTGTGCTTGTAACCCTTGTCGAGTTCTGTCTGACTGTTCCCTTGTAACCTTTGTCGAGTTCTGCCTTCGAAATTTTCGTTTGAATATTTGCTAATGCTACGAAGGCACTGGGGGTCGTCACATGCAGGTACACCCTGGCTGCTTCGTCTTCCTACTCACTAAAGCAGTCAACAATAGGCCAACTAATGCGCACTATGATGCAGTAAGAGCTGAACTTCAGTATCTTCTGTCACTAACACGATTTCGCACAATGGTATTATCCCCGCTCATCTTTTCCCCTGCGCTAGTGTGTGGGCGCCGCGCCCCCAAACAATGCAGTATTTGTGAGCGTGCCTAATGTCCTAACGGTTGCAGAGCTGAAGATCAATGAAGCCCTTTAGTAAAGACTAAGCGCAGCGTGGCACTAATTGCGCACGAGATGCTTGTGTGTACTTCTCTCCCATGGAAAATTCCTGGGGCTTCTTCAAGTGCGTGGTGTCGGACCCCCAGTCGAATTTCTAAGGCACTGTCGCAGCAAATACGCCAGATGGGCTGCCAAGAGGCCCCAAAGAAGTTCACGGAAACCCACCATAGGTCTAGAGGTTTGCGCAACTGATTGCTGAGAATGACATCGTGGAGGGGTCAGCACGGTAGAGCGTGGAAATACCAAGCTGAACTGATCTGGCCTTGATTTGTTAGCAACTCTATAAGTGTAGAAGTGTAGAAGTAATAGGGAGTTGCTGCAACGTGCACGCTTCACCAAATGGCAGTGCTGAGTGGTAGTGACTCTGTTGAGCAGGTTCATGCCGCACGGCAGTACCAAGCAAGGCTGAGTTCGGGCTATTACGCGCTGGAGAAACAGAATTCTGAAATTGAAATTGAAAAGAGGTAGTCATTCGCTGCAGATGCTATTTCTTTGCAAGAGCCGTAGTTGTCTGATTCACAGCACCGGCAGTAGCGGCCGTAGCGGCGTTTGCTGTTGTAGGTGGCTACCTTGAGTTGAGGGGAATGCACGGCGGGCATCAAAATAATTGAGATTACAGCCGAATTTCCTAGCCTAAAAATGATGGGAAAATAACTAATACTAAGGCAGTAGGTTGACCAGTCGCAGGCACAATGGTCTGGTCCACCAGCCCTGTCGATGAGCTCTCGGCGCCAGCCACAGCTGCTCCGATTGCTGCCCTCTCAGTCACTAAGGAAGCCTTCGAATTAGTTTTCACTTTTACACTGTACTGTGCCAGGCTTCAAGTTTTTGTCTGTTGAAGACTGGGGGACCCGTGAAGCATATTCCGGGCCGCCGCCGCCTTGCTACGGCTATCGAGTTGGGGTGGGGCGGCCTGCGCTGCGCCTTTGGGGCTCCTCAGGGGTAAATTTACGGCAGAAGTTAGCAATTTTATCAAGCAAGGTCTTGAACATGCATTTGATGAGGTAACACCGCAAAAGAGGGGCGGGGACCTATGACCTGCGGTGTGGCGGCACAGCGCAAGCGGTCGCCGCGCTGCAGAGGAACGGGGCATTTGGGGGCAACTGATGAGCTGCAGCGAGTTGTGGCACTGACGAAACTGAAGAGTTAAGGCCCCTCACGGCGGGGGCCTCGCAGCGTTATGAAGGCGCAGACACCTGGGGAGTCACTTCCGGTCACTGTCGAGCGCCAGCAGCAGCCAGAGCCTGAACAACTGCAGCAGCAGCACAAGCCGCAGCAGCAGCACAAGCCCCAGGAGGAGCAGCAGCAGCCTCCCCTTCTGCCCCTGCAGGCTTACAGGCCTTTCCAGCGCAGAGCACCCCCAGTTGGGACTTCCCCCCTGCGGCTTCGCAGGCTCAGCTCTCACCCCCGCCAAGTGGGCGTAAGCTGGAAGGAACTCGCAGAGGCCCGTGTGTGTGGGTCTCAGCTGGAAGGGGCGCCTGCGGAGGTGACCAGTGGCCCATCCAGCGCAGCAGCAAGCAGCTCCGTGCACAGCAAAATGCCTGTGCATGCGCGGGTGGCGGTGGCGGAGTCGCAGGGATTCTTGCGAGCCAAAGTGGCTGCCAAGGAGCAGCTCTGTTCGCAAGTCATTGGCGAAAACCAGCAGCTCATCAGAGAGCTCGAGGAGACCAAAGCGAGACACAGACAAACTGTAGAGCGACTTAAAGCGTAAGGCAGGGGCCAGAAAACCTAGAAAGGGGTTTAGAAGGGTTTACAGTTTTTCAAAGAGCTTTCTCACATAGCAGAAGGGGTTCCCAAGGGGCTTGAAGCCGATTCACTGGTATCTCAAGGGGCTTTAAAGAAGGTCTATTTGTTTGTGGCTGCGTTTAAATGAAAAGAAGTTCAGTAAAGAAATGAATCTGGGTATATGTGACTGCACTTGGGGAGGTAGCAGCGCCACTGAGCTCAGCGGCAGCTGCCATTGATTTCGTGTCTCTGGCGATCTGCTGCTGTAGCAGCTGTTGTATTGCTGCTGCAGCTACTGCTGCACTGTTGCTGCAGCTGCTGCTGTATTGCTGCTGCAGCTGCTCCTGCACTGCTGCTGCCAATTGTGCACGACTGCTGTTCGCTGCCGTCTGCATGCTGCAGCTGCGGCTGACTGGGCACCTGTACTGCTGCTGCTGCTGCTGCTCAGGGAGGCGGCTGCTGTGGTGCAGCAGCTGCTGGCAGATACTGCAGTCTACCGCGACACCCACGACAACCTCGTGCGGAAGCTGCAAATTCAAGAACGTCAAGTGGCCACAGAAGCTTTGCTGGCTCGGCAGGCGGAGCGGCGGTGGGAGGAGTCTGAGGAAAAGTTGCAAGTGCTGAAGAGGCAAGCTGTGCTGCCGCTTTCGTGCTGCTGCTGCTGCTGCTGCTGCTGCTAGCTGCCTGTTGTTTCCCTTGACTCTCACATGAAGGCGGGTAAGTTTCGCTCGAGACCATTGGACAGACCAGTTGCGAGTGGGTAAATGCTGGCCTCAGGTTTGTGTCGGGTCTTCAAGAAAAACAAAAGACTCTCGAGGAAGAGGCCCACGCCTTCACCACCGCCTTCCGCTCCCTCAAGGCTGCAGTCAAAAGTTTTGCTGCTACCATTGCAGCTTGCAATGTCCGTACATAAGATTTCTGCGTGGCAGCAATGTGAATTCACCAACCATACATTAATATCTGCATGTTACACATACATAACAAGTAGTAGTGACTACACGTGTAAGGGCAGAAACAGATTGCGATGAAGCGCATTAGTGGCTGCCAATTTTGGCCGATTTCTCCTTCCTTACTTTGCGCAAAATGGTTGTAGAGAAGTTGGAGATGGGAAAATATGGGCTCTTTCGCAGTTTTGCGTGGGTTTGAGAGGGGAAATACGCTTATCGCTGAGTCGTTGACTTGTTCACTGATTGCAGTTCTCAGAAGATGACAAGGCTTCGCTGGAGCAGCTTCCGGAGATGGTCACTTTGGGGGTCAATCGCATGCAGGCAAGTGTAGAAACTGAGCCGCCACAGCCATTTATATCCAGAATTACTTGCGGAACTTGGCTTGCAGAGGCTACCTCTTAATGCCTTTGGTGATGCTCACGCCTGCCCCGTGAATTGCAGCTCGTGCTCTCTGAAACGGAGGCGACACTTTTAGAGAAAGGCTTCGTCAAGGAAGTCAGCTCCCAAGGCATTTTGCAGGCGAGGCTCAAGGTGTTTGATGAGTGCAGCTTCTATAATAAAAAAATATATATATGCTGTTTTCCGCGCTTGAGGTACAGTAGAGTACTCCTTTTGGATGCACCTCAACAGCGTTACAACGTTTGCTTCGTCTTGTTGCATTTTGGCAATTGCATTTTGAACACAACTGAATTCAAGAAGAGCTCAGCGGTAACCCAGGCACTGGCCCTCAAACGGAGCACTATATGCATGCGCCGGTGTCAGTATTCTCTTGATTATTATTACCTTAATTGTTTTTATTCTTAAAAGCGCCTCGGCCACTCTTTTTTCTGGACTAATTGGTACTCAGAGCATCAACGCCACGCGGGAGCCCACCTCGATGGTCCCGGCCGTGGAGGTTTCGCGTCTGCAGCGAGAAAGGAAAATGTGGGAGAATAAATTTGTGGTGAGGCTGGAAGAATGCAAGTGTTCCTTCGGCTTACTATTGCTGCCTCCACTGTGGCCACTACTCATGCCACTATTCTTTCTCTTGCATGCATATATTTCTAGCCTCGCTCAACCCAGAAGCACGTTCTTTTGCGCAGTAAAACCAACACGCGTTTGCTTTCAGCTTAAAAGGCAACAAAACTGGGTCTGTGGCCTTCTCATGCAGCCACAACATGCTTGCATGCATTCATGGATGCATGCACGTACTTGCCGTTCTGTTTTGCTGCTGGTGAACTGGCAGAGAGTAGAGAAGGAACTTCGGACAGTGGCGAAACAACTGGAAGAGACCAAAAAAGAAAATGCCCGCAAAGCGGACGTCTTGCTGAAGCTTCGCCTCAAAGACCATCGCCTCAAGTGAGATAGATTGGGACGAAGACGGCGCAGAGTACAAATAGAAAGACATGTGCTGTATCTCGTGGCAGTTAGAGTCTCAGGCCTTTTAATCCTTGTAGCAATTTCATAATAATATCATATTTAGCGTAGCATTTGAAAATCGCGAAAAGATTTGTCGCCCTTGCCTCACCCCGTTAGCAATGCCACTCAGAGAGCAATTGCTGACACAGCTCATGCTGGTTGGCTGTCTCAGCCTCTTGTGACTTTCCGTGATGGTTGTGAACTTTCGTGCACTTTGCTTTTCTATTCTTCAAGTTCTAATCTACTCAGAGAACTACAAATATACCTTGTAATTTAATTCAGAAGACAAAACTTAGAGAACTGAACCATCTTAGTATCAGGACATTGTGCATGCATTTTCGAACTTGTTCAAATGCAAATTTTCATGTTTCATTGCTGCATATGCGGGCTTGGTTTTCGCCGCAGAGTGCAGGAAGCTGATTTTGCTGCGGCTAAGGCAAAGGCCCATGAGCTGCAGCTGCAGATGGAGAAGCTTCGCAAAGAGAGGTAGGTTCTTTCCTTTTGGCACTTTTCAGAAGTTTTTTTACAATAAATATGCAATAACCTGAAGTTGCAATTTCTCTTTGCATTGTGTTCTTCTCCAGAGTTAGTCTATATCAGCTTTAGCAAATGGGGGCTCAACAGGCCTTGGGACTCAGAACTTGAGGGAATTCACCTTTTTTTTAATGCATTTCATTTGCGTTTACCTTTCTTATATTTCAGAGATGATCTCGCTGCCTGGAAAGCATCTCACCCTGTCTACAAAGGCTACCGGTGGGACTCTTCGGCTGAGGGTCGGTCTCGTTCAGCCAGCCGGGGCGGCCGTGCTGCTGCGCAGCCTGCAGCAGGTGCAGCAGCTGCAACTGCTGCAGCTGCTGCAGCAGCCGCTAAAAAGAAGAGTTCGGGGAAAGTGGCAGCAGCACTGCAGCCGCCAGACACTCACGAGGCCCCACCTTCTTCGCCTAGGGATCGGGCTGTCTTGGGCCGTTCTGCTTCTCGGCTTTCTCTGGCCAGCAGCCGCAGAGTTTCTTCTGTGGCTTCTGCTGCTGCTCCAGGGGAGCAGGGAGCAGCAAAAGCGCGGAAGTCGCAAAGTCCCAGCGCGCCGGAGCTGCAGAGGGCTCGCGACTCCTTCGTCTCAGCAGCAGCTGCTGCTGCTGCAGGACTTGCTGCTCCTCTCATGGCCCCAAAGTCCGCCAGTGCCCCCACTCTCCCTTCGACCCAAGAGCTGCACAGGCCCTCTTCCATTTCCCGCGGGACTTCGCGGCAGTCTCTGCAAGATTCTGAAATGGTGCTGCTGCAGCGCAGCAGCAGCACGCATTCCCAGGCGAAAGCAGCGAGGGGGGCCCCCGAGGGCCAGACAGCCCGCAGCCTTGCTTTGAAGCATCCTAGCCTCAGAAGTGCTTCTCACGAAAACGACCTTAGTGGCATTTCCCCGAGGGCCTCCTCCTCCAGAAGTCCCCGC